TTAACCTACGTAACTCGAGGTAATCCACTCCCAACTCCTCAGTGTCATCGTCTAGTTGAATAAAAAAGAAACAAATGAAGCAAACTGAATGTTCAGTTCTTATAGGAACAACAGATGCACGGTGCTCACTGCTTACTGGTTGAGGAGTAACCTTTATAAAACACACCATTTTATTTTCATTAAATCAGTAAATTTATGTAGCCCGCTCTCATCTCCTTTGTGTCATTGCCTTTGTTGTATATATACAAACATGCTGGTAAAAACCAGTCATAAGCAACATTATGAGATACTAGCGTGGTTTTTTAAATCAATTGATTAAATAATATTAGTGGTAACAGAATTAGGCGTGGAGAACCAATCGAGAATTTGTCATAGACACGATTATGTTTCACATGTAAATCTTGCAGTCTTTTTTTCTTCTGTCATATTTCCATTTAGGGGAAACTGAAAGTTCAATTCCTACTGCAACACTAGCATTTTAACTCTTTTCGTAGGCATGATATAAATTGAGACAGGAATGCTTAGACGTTTTATTCAGTGATTGTGTCAGTTTTCAACTCCCATTGTCTCCGAATTAAAACACCTGCAGTGTAACGTATAAACCTAAGGACTGTTTTTCTTCAAATTAACCAGAACGTATCTTCTACACCCCAGTGTTGTCAAAGCAAATTAGTTGCACAGGAAAATTTTACTGAATTTCTTTAGATTTGGCTGGAACGTTTGTTTCTTTTCTTTTTGCGGAGAACTCTTATGCGAAAATTGTTCCACGCAAAAATTTAAACCACGATGCCTCTTGCGAGCTAGGGTTTAAAAAATATATACATTGGCGCAAACAGAAGGCATTGAGCAATTATTTAAACGTGCCACTTTGCGAATGGATCTGGAATACATTAGCCTGAATATGCATTTTAGGCCCTGTCCACACTTATCCGGATATTCTTGAATCCGCAACTTTTTCTTTCCGGATTCAAAAATTTCCCCGTCCACACGTAGCGTATTCAAATCGAGTTCGCCTGTCCACACGCATTCGATGGCATCCGGATTCACTCAAGAGAAACTAGGCCTACACGTTGTGCCGCCATATTGGTTTATTGTTCGGTAAGAGACTGGACGCGATTTTGCTACGTCATCGGATTTGAAACTATTCGGATTCACCGTCCACACGTTATCGGATTCGTTGCGGATTTATTTTTTTCCAGTCTGGAGAGCGGATTCAAAAATATCTGGATTCGCTGCCTAATTCTCCGGATGCGTGTGGACGGAGGCCGTATCCGGAAAGAAAAAGTTGCGGATTCAAAAATATCCGGATACGTGTGAACGGGGCCTTATTTTATCCAAACATTAACCTTCCTTATGCCTGTTTGGTTTCTTGTTGCCTAGTTGGTATTTTTCTATTTCGAAAACCGGCTTCAGTTGGAATTTCCTCTACTTTGGCTTTAATTTGTTCTACAACAT